GCTCGCCCTGGCTCAGTTCCAGGGGCAGCCCATGCCAGGGCTCCGCGAGCTCTGCAATAACAACAAGGGGCTGCTCGACATGATGCGCACGGTCGACGCGGAGGCGGTCGGCGGACTCACCGACGTGGAGGACGCCTCGAGCAGGGGCGACGCGGGCCCTGCGCCGGCACCCGTGGTCGACACGGGCGAGGACGACGTGACCGCTGCGTTGGCGCGAGCGGCCATCCAGGCTGCAGCGCGGCGCCGGAGCAAGGGCGCCCCGGCGGAGCGCCCTCGCACCCCACGCTCCCCGGAGCAGAGGCGCCTCGCCGAGGAGGTTCGCAGGCGCGAGCGGGTCCTCCGGACCCCCTCGCGCACCCCGCGCCGCGACCGCGAGCGCGAGGCGCGTCCGCGCTCGCGCCCACGCGATCGGACGCGCGCAGAGGAGGCCGCCCTGAAGCCCAAGACTGGGGGCGCTCCACCGAGGGCCGTCGTCGTGAAGAAGGAGACCGTCCTGAAGCCTAAGAGCGGGGGCGCTCCACCGAGGGCCATCGACGAAGACGGAGGTGGAAGAGCCGGCGGCCCCAGGCTCGCGGGGCAGTCCGCCCCAGCGCCGGCCGCGCTCGAGGAGCCGCCGCAGGCGCAAGGAGGAGCAGCGCCCGAGCGCCCAGCAGCAGCCCAGCAACCAGCACGACGGGGGCGAGGCCATCATCCGCATCGAGCGGGTGCCGCACGAGGTCGACGCCGAGGTGGTCAGGCAGGTGGTGGTCCCTTCGGAGTCGTCAAGCACATCGCCTTCCTGTGCGACCACCGCCACAAGAGGGAGCCCTGCGTGCTCGTGGAGTTCCAGCGCCGCGCGGATGCAGCGCGCGCGGGAATGCATGCGGTCGGGGCACAGGTTCTACAAGACGGACCCATGCACGGTGGTCGCGGAGCGGGCGAGCCGGCCGCGTGGCCCGGGCCCAGGCAGCGACGGGGGGGCGGCCCGACCGTCCAGCCGCCTGCCTGCCCGACGTGCGCCCGTAGGATGCGCTGGAGCTCCTTCGACCCGGGCGACGGGTGGGGCTGTAGCTGCGCCCCGCGGGCGGAGCTAACAGCGGAGCCCTGCGGTGGCACTGCGAGGGGTGCGACGTGAGCTACTGCGAGGCCTGCCGCGTCGGCCACGCAAGCCCAAGACGCTGGTGGAGAAGGCCCGGCAGAGCGACCACGCCGAGCGGGAGGCGCCGGGCCCCAGCTCCGGCCGCGGGGGGCTCCCCAGCGCGGGGGCAGCGAGCGCGGGCGCCGAGGGGGGCCGCCCGCCGGGCGACCTCAGCTGGCCCAGGCGCGAGAGGTCGCCCAGCGTGGGCCTGGCGAGGGGCCCAGCGTGGGCGCACCGCGGCGATGCCCCCCCCGGCCGCGCGCGGCGTAAGACCGGGAAGCACGCCGGGCAGCTTCGCGCTCCCCGAGGCGGCTGGTACGAGCAGGAGAAGAAGAGGAGGCGCGCTGCGGCTGCCGCAGCCGAGGCCGCCGCCGGCGGGGGGGGGGCCCCAGCCTGGCGCGGCCAGGGCTCGGGCGATAAGAGCGGCAAGGGCGCCGAGTGCAAGGGCAAACACGCCGGCACGACTGCCAAGGGCGCCAAGGGCCGCGGCAAGGGCAACAAGGGCGGCAAGGGCGGCTACCCCAAGGGCGACCAGGGCAGCCGCGCCCCGAGCGAGCGCGCCAGGGGCGGTGCGGGCAGCCGCGCCTCGGGCAGCGCAGGCCGCCGCGAGAGGGGCGGCGATGGAGGCAGCCCCCGCAGCCGCAGCGGTCGCGACGGGAACCTCAGCGGCGACGAGGGCCGTGGCCGCCAGGGGGGCGCGCCAGCCATTTAGGCGTGGCACCCACCCCACAGGCCAGCGCCCGCGGTGCCGCGGCTGCGGGCGGCAGGCAGCGGACCGCTGTGTGGCGGACCGCCACGCGGTGCCAGGCCCGTGAGTGAGAGGTTGAGTTTTGGGCGTGGCACGCACGTCGCGTTGCCGCGCGGCCCCCTTCTTCCTGCGCCCCGCGCGGGCGGGGCCCCACTTGCGCTCTGCGCCCGGCGCGTCATCGCGCCGCTTCGTTCTCTCTTTCTTTACTTTGCGCGCTTCGCGCACGCGCCGCGCCCGCGCTCTGGGCGCGCGGGGCGCGGAAGGCCTCAAGGATGCAGGCTAGTGGCCGCGCGCGCGAGGCTCGCCGGGCCTCGGGTTCCGCCCTCGTGCCTCTGGCTGGGCGTTCCCGCGCGCGCTGCTGCGCTCTTTCTTTCTCGTGGCTGTGCGGCCGCAGGCGTGCCAGAGCGCGAGCGCGTGGGCCGTCAGGGCCCACGCGCACGCGCCGGGCGTGGGCCGTCAGGGTCCACGCCCGGGCGGAGGTGCGCGTCGCCACGCTGCCGTGAGTCAAATATCCTCCCCTCGTCCCTGTCTCCTTCCTCTCCTCCTCCTCCCCCCTCTCCGTTGAGTGCACGCGTATCTCACTTAACTTGTATAGTCTGATAGGTTTGTAGACTGCAGGTTAAGTGGGAGGGGGTGTGGGCTCAGGTCGCCATTTTGGGTCCGTAACGTTCGGCTCAGGCCGACGCGCGGGTGCCCACCCACCCCGCTTTGCTCCCTGACGCCTGGGCCGCGCGGCCGCAGGCGTGCCAGAGCGTGAGCGCGTGGGCCGTCAGGGCCCACGCGCACGCGCCGGGCGTGGGCCGTCAGGGTCCACGCCCGGGCGGAGGTGCGCGTCGCCACGCTGCCATGAGTCAAATTTCCTCCCCTCGTCCCTGTCTCCTTCCTCTCCTCCCCCCACCCCCTCTCCGTTGAGTGCACGCGTATCTCACTTAACGGAGGAGGAGGAGGAGGAGGAGGAGGAGGAGGAGGAGGAGGGGAGAGGAGGGGGAGGAGGAGGACGAGGATGAGGATGAGGAGGAAGGAGGAGAGGAGGAGGAAGGAGGAGGAGGAGTAGGAGGGAGAGGAGGAGGAGCAGGAGGAGGAGGAGGAGGACGAGAAGGAGGAGGAGCAGGAGGAGGTGGAGGAGGAGGAGGAGGAAGAGGAAGTGCATCCTTTGTGTGACCGCTCGAAGAAAGTGCGCCCCGGGAGTGTGATATTCTGACTTGGGACGTGCTCCCGGAAGAGGAAAAATGCGTCTCGGGCGTGCCCGCTCGAGGAAAATACGCCCTAAGGGGGGGGGGGGTATTTTGACTCGGGGCCCGCTCCCAGGACGCCTCTGCGGGAGGAGGAGGAGGAGGAGGAGGAGGAGGAGAAGGAGGAGGAGGAGGAGGAGGAGGAAGAGAGGAGGAGAGGGGGATGGATGATGATGATGATGAATGATGATAAGATGATGGGGGATGATGAAATTGCTGAATGAAGAAATGCTGATGAAGATGATGATGAATGAGAAGAATGAAATAGAATGATGGATGATGAATATGATGGTGATATGGTGATGTGATGGTGAAGAGGCGGAGGAGGAGGAAGAGAGGAGGATGAGGAGGAGAGTGAGAGGCAAGGAGAGGGGAGAGGAAGGAGGAGGAAGGGGGAGGGGGAGGGGGAGGGGGAAGGAGGAGGAGGAGGAGGTATGATGAGGAGGAGAGAGGAGGAGAGGAGGAGGAGGAGCAGGAGGAGGGAGGAAGGAGGTAGGAGGGGAGGAAGAGGAGGAGAGGAGGAGGGAGGGGGAAAGGAAGGAGGATGAGGAAGGAGGAGGAGGCGGAGGAGGAGGAAGGAGGGAGGAAGGAGGAGGAGGAGAGGAGGAGGAGGAGGAGGAGGAGGAGGAGGAGGAGGAGGAGGAGAGGAGGAGGAGGAGGAGGAGAGGAGGAGGAGGAGGATGAGGAGGAGGAGGAGGAGGAGGAGGAAGGAGGCAGGAGAGGAGGAGGAGGAGGAGAGGAGGAGAAGAGAGGAGCGGAGAGGAGGAGGAGTAAGCGAGTGTTAGGAAGGAGGAAGGAGGAGGAGGGAGGAGGTAGGAGGATGAGGTAGGAGGAAGGAGGAAGGAGGATGAAGGGTGAGGAAGGAGGAGGAGGCGAGGATGAGGAGGCTGAGGAGGAGGAGGAGGTAGGAGGGAGGAGGAGGAAGAGGAAGAATGATAGGAGGAGGAGGAGGAGGAGGAGGAATAAGACACAGAAGCATAATAAGAAGAAGGAGGAAGGAGAGGAGGAGGAGGAGGAGGAGGAATAAGACACAGAAGCATAATAAGAAGAATAAGCAGAAGAAGAAGAAGAACAAGGAACATACTAATACTAATAATAATAATACGAATAATAATAATAATGATACTACTAATACTAATAATAATAATAATAAGAATAATAATAAGAAGAAGAATAAGAAAAATAATAATAATAAGACTAATACGAATAATAAGAAGAAGAATAAGAATAATAATAATAATAAGAAGAATAATAAGAAGAAGAAGCGTAATAATAATACTAATAATAATAAGAATAATAATATTAATAATAATAATAAGAAGACGAATGAGAAGACAACTACGAAGAAGAAAACGAATAATAATGATAATGATGATAATACGAATAATAATGATAAGAATAAGAAGAAGAAGAATAAGGTGACGAAGAATAAGAAGAAACATACTAATAATAATAAGAATAATAATCATAATAACAAGAAGAATAAGAAGAAGAACACGAATAATAATAGTAAGAATAAGAAGAAGAATAATAATAATAAGAAGAAGAACAATAAGAGGAGGAGGAGGAGGAGGAGGAAGAAGAAAAGGAGGAGAGGAGCAGGAGGAGGAGGAGGAGGAGGAGGAGGACCAGGAGGAGGAGGAAATGCATCCCGTGCGTGCCCGCTTGAGGAAAGTGCGCCCCGGCGGGCGTCGTATCTGCCCCGGGTCCCCCCCCCTCCCCCCTCCCCCTTCCCCCCCCCCCTGCGGGGGATCAAAGGGAAGGGGCTTCCCTTCGACTCCACTACGACGTCGTTTAATTTCGTTTTGGATAGCGCGCTTGAGGAGGAGAGCCCTGGGAGGGGGAGAACGGAGAGGACGGAGACGACGAGTCGAACGGAGAAGCCCCTCACACACACCGACAGGGTCGGCGGATTTTAGCAGGCGGAAGTTCAGATTCTGTTTGCGATGGTTGCGAGGCTTCGCTGGCGGCCGTGCACTGGATGCATGAGACAGTCATCTTTGAGCGAGGCGGCTCTCAGTAGGACCAGGAGAAGGCTGGGGGGGGGGCGACGATGAAGATACAGGGGGAGCGGGAAGGTCAGGGGTTCCTGTCGAGCCGTCCCTGGACTTTCTTCGTTTGGCGGCATTTGTTTGGCCAGCGGGCGCGAACAAGTGGTCGCGAGCACCGCCAAAGAGAGCCACTGGTAAAATTCTTCTTTGCTGAGAACCTTGGTGCTGCAATAGTCATTCTGTTTATATGATAATGCTGGTCCCTGCTGTTGCTGTTGCATGCTCTCACCCCTCTGCCCGTAAACATATTGGCTGAGGGGGCCCCCTTTTGCTAACGCTACCAGCTATCATAACTTATCTTTTGCAGCGAGAAGGTCTTGGAATAAAAGATTCACGCATCTTATCAGCGCCTGCGTGTGCGTTGCATTGGCAGCGGAGCGTGTATTCCGAGCTCCCTCGCAGGGAGAACCTTTTCGGCATCAGACAGTTTCTTCCCGGACACTCCCGTGCAGTCGGACAGATCACGACGGATATTACATCTCGCACGATGGCTGACCGGAGGCCTGCTGCTGCCGCTGGTTCTCGCGGTGCCGCCGCACCGAAGAAGTACGGAAATCGTCGATACAAGGGCAAGCACCCTCGAGATGGAGCTGCGGCAGCGGCTACGCCCGACGATGAGACCTACGAAGAGGAATGGGCCGACGAGTGGGCCGAAGAGGACTGGGCCGAGGACGACTACGAGGAGTCGGAGATTCCACCGAGCTCGGCGGAGTTTCGACGCACCCGTGGTGATCGCAAGAAGTGGCGCGGAGGACCGTGCCCGGCCCCGCCTCCACTCGAGGCCCGGTTTCAGAATATCTACAAGCAGCCGAGGTACTACCAGAAGTGGGTTCGGAAAGTGCACATGTGGAAGGCCAGGGCGCGACACTACAAGCCGATGGCCGAGCTGGCCCTGGACCTTTCGGACGTCATCACGGGCGAAGGCGCAGAGATGATCGAGTCTTTGGAATGGACCCGTCTGTATTCACAAGATGGCATCGATCTGGTGACCAACTCACTCGCCGTGTTTGACGAGCAGCAGATCCTACAAGTTGGAGACCTCATGGAAGAGCACGAAGAAGTGGAGCGCCTGCCCGGTGAGCTGCTGGCCGCGTACGTCGCGCATTTCAAGGATCTCGAGATGCGGCTCAAGCGGGCAGAGCTTCCAGCTCAGCAAGGACAATTTCGTGCGTTCAAGTTGTTGCGAAGTTCATGTTTGTCGCCGGAGGTTCGGCGCAACCTCCTTCTCGCGACGGGCAATGAGTACGACTTCGACCGCCTCGTTCAGGCTATGAGTGTGCAGTGGCCGTCCACCGCCCCGAACTGGGTTGCTCCAGCACGACGGATGGCACGCAAGCGACTCGGTGAGGCGGCCGCTCCTGAACGCAAGCCGGCTGGTCGAGATCACGATAAAGGAGGCGGCAAAGGACGAGATCGACAGCCACAGAATCGAGCTCCTCGACCAGCGCCGAAGCCGCCCCACGTCAGCGAGGCCGACATTATTCCCGAAGACGAGGCTGAGGAAAACGAAAATGAAGACGACCCCGATCAAGCAGAAGTAAATGAGGCTTACGCCGAGGAGGTTGACAGCATCCAGGTCATGCAGGAGGTGGCGGACGCTTTGACCATCACAAGCGACAAGCTGAAGAAGCTGACCTTGGGCCGCGGGTGGACCGGAAGGTCCTCACCGCCGAAGCCTGGAGACCGACGCCCGCCACCGCGGTCAGCGCCCTCCGGTGGTGCCGCCGCCCCTGCGGGTCGGCCGCCCCCAGCGCCGCCCGGCAGGTCGCCGCAAACATCGCCAGCACCGCCACAGAGAGGCACTGCGACGCCGCCGGCCGGCACGTCTTTTTCAGGAAGCATTCGTGGAACGTTTACGGGAGATCGATCCGGAGATTCAAGAGCACCGGCGGCATCTCAGAGGCCAGGGTTTCGCCAGACGTCATCGAGGACCGGCTACAAGGATAAACGCGATCGAGCTCGCGCCGTTCATGATGCCTCGATTGATCAGGACGAACCCGCTGATGAAGACGATGAGGAGCACGCCGCCGATGCGGTAGAGCACGAGGCCCTAGTCACGCACCTCTCGCCTGACGAGCTGCAGCAGCGCGTGGCCGCCTTCAAGAGCAGGGTCGCCACCAGCGACAAGGGGGCCTCTCGCGTTCGATTTCAGGCAGCGCCAGAAGTGCGTCAGTTTTCCGTGGATTCTCGCGGAGCTCAGGCGGCGAGAAGCGGACAAAATCATCGCATCAGGTCGACGTCATCTGGCGTGTCCGGACGCCCTTGGACGTTTGCTTCCTCGAGGATTCCCAGGGTTTCTACATTGTCATCGACACAGGTTGCCAGCGCAACGTTGTGGGCTACGAGTGTTTGGGAAAGTTTCTGGAACATATCGCCTACCTGGGATTGAGTTTCTGGGGAGCTGAGGAGCAAGAGAGGTTTCGGTTTGGAGTCAGTCGTGCGGTGAGCAAATCTGTGGTGTATTTCCCGATATGTCTTGAACATGTGGTGCCCCTGGTTTGCCGTGCCTCAGTCTTGGACGTGAACCCTAAGTTGCCTTTCTTGGGATCGTTACCGATGTGGAAGCTCTTGGGCCTCCAGCTGGACACCTGGGGGGAAAAGGGCTCATTTCACCAAGATCAACCTGTGCGACGCGCCCCTGAAGATTGCCCCGAATGGCCACTTGCTTATGAGAGTCGACTCTTGGTTGAAGGATGTGGGGTTCCCAAGGGGGCCCGAGGCCTGGAAGTTCACCCCCTCGGACGTCATCATCCCGGAGCCCCAGTGGATCCCAGAGGCACCAGCCTGTGTTTCCGGAGATAGTTGTGCTCAAGCCGAGTCTCAGCCTATGCAGTTTTCACGCGCAGCACTGTGTGCTCTTACATATACTCACCGCGGGCTGCTTCAGCCTCGCGAAGTCCTGCCCTCCGTGCCAGACGGCTGTAACCTGACCGACGCCACGCCCGTGTTCGAGAGCATCCTCGGTCTGTCGGTAAATGAAGTCGGTCAAGTCGGAGTCGCAGGAGGCCCGATCGTCTCGTCGCACAGTCCAGCTGACGAGGCAGAACCTGGCGATCAACGCGTGGACGAACCTGATGCAGCTGATCATGAACCACCTGTCGCACATCATCGGTCGCAGTCGCGAGCAGTTCCGGCAGAACATGGAGATGTCGAACCGGATGATGGGCACGATCGCGCAGATGGGCCACGAGATGGGCTACCTGACACCGATGGCGGACTCAGTGAAGGCGATCGCGAGAGGAGCCGCACAGGTTCCGGAGAGCGTGCTGCCACCGCCGCCGGCACCAGAGGATCAAGCCCAGAACTACTCACAGCTGTGCGAGAAGAGGGACGTGTGCGCCCATCCGACAACGAGGAGGTACTACGCCAAGGGGTACTGGCTGATCTGCGACCAGTGCGGCCGGCGGTGGAAGTCGGTCAACGGGAAGTGGATCGTGGACGACAAAGAAGATCCTCTTCGCGTACCTACCTCGACAAAGTCACTGGGTTCCTCCTCGCGCTCTCGGCCAGCTGCTTCAATAATGCCGAAACGCCCGGTCAAGTCTTCGGCGAGCTCGAGCCAGGGTCGTACGCGGACCAAGGCGGAGCCAAGGTCACCCTCGGAGCAGGCGGTTCCGACCGACGAGGAGGACGACGAGAACTTGGACAGGACCTCCGAGGGCGAGGAGACGGACCAGGGATGGGACAAGCTTCCGCGCCAGCCTCCCCAGCGCCGGGGACCGAGATGGTGAAGAGAGGCGCCTGGAAGCGCCTTCTCGGCATTGCTAAGAAGACGACCGCAGCCTGCGAGACGCTTATTAACGTGAGTCAAGATGCCGATCGCCGAGCTGCCGATTTACGAGACGCGGAATGGTGTTGTTCGGACGTGGCCTTCATGGACATTCCCGTTCCCGAGTTGCCCGACTACCTGCACCTGGACAACGAGTGCCAGGCGTGCGGCACCGACCTCATCGAGGGCTGCGCCGGGACAGCAAGACCTACGCGATTAGCTTCGCACTTTGAGCTGAGGGCCTCGCCGAGCGCCGACATAGAGGACGGCTGGGACTTGTCAACTACGCGAGGTGCTCAGAGATGGAAAGATCAGATACAGAAAGACAAGCCACTCTACGTGATCGTAGGCTTCCCCTGCACGCTCTGGTGCTCCTACAACGTCAATGTGAACTACGTCGACCATCCCGAGCTGCTTGAGAGACTTCGTGCCCGGGATCGACGGCTGATTGACTTGATCAAGTGGACCATCGAGTACCAGGTGAAGCATGGCCGGTTCTTCTTGTTCGAGAACCCGCCGACGTCAGCGATCTGGAAGGACCTCCAGTTCGCCCCGCTCCTGCCCTTGGGCGAGACCGTTATTGGCCATGGGTGCCAGTGCGGGAAGACAGGCAAGACTGGCCTGCCGATTCGCAAGGCGTATCGCTGGTTCTCCAACTCGCCGCCCGTGCTTGCGGCTCTGAGCCGCCGCTGCCCAGGACTTCGCCCGGAGTCCGGGGGCCGCTTGCACGATCAGATCGAGAACTCCAAGTGGACAAAGGCCAGCGGCGAGTACACCGACGAGATGGCCCACGCGATGCCCCACGCGATCCAGCAGGTCGCCGCCCAGAGGAATCCGAGCAGGTTTGCCGACATGCCGGTCGCGGCTACCGAGTGGGAGGCCGCCTACAACCACGCAGGTCCCATCGAGGTGCTGTTCGCCTCGCCAGAGAAGGACCCCACCAGGTGGGAGGCGGTCATGCAGGGCGTCCGACAGATCGTGGGCGGCTCCGCCAGTCGAGGCGGGAACAAGGCCACGCATTACTTTTCGAAGTCATCCGCGCTCTGGAGACAGATTAGCCAGCTCGTCCCGTGGGACCTCACGATGATCCAGCTCGTGAAGACAGCCAAACAAAGGAGGTTCCCTATCAAAAAGGAGCCGTGGTCTCACCGTGGTCACTGCTACGTGGACGAGAAGGGCCATTACCACATCGAAGCCGAGGACCTGGTTGACGTGGCCTTCCCGACGTTGGCCTTGTCGCCGCCAGCGGACCTAGCCGTTTTCTTCTTCGGCTATGCCAAGCAGGAGCCCCTCCCGCAGGAGCCTGACACGTCACAGATAGAGAAGCGAATGCCGCTTCCCCCGGGCCCGAACGACCCGATGCTGCCGAACAACAGCCTGCCGCCCGATGTGGACGACGACCTGCAGGACGCCCCGATCGCTCGGATGCCTGACGCGTCCGGCGGCATGGTTGGCATACGTTTTGTTGGAGTGACAAAGGAGCAGTGTCCTCGTGAAGTTCGCCAGCTTGTCGCTCGTATGCACTGTAACTTGGGGCATCCTGTGCCCAGCGAGTTCTTCCAGTTCCTGGCTCAGAGAGGCGCCTCGCAGGCCGCGCTGCTGTGCGCCAGAGCGCTGAGGTGCCCGGCGCGCCTTCGTCGCAAACGGCCTCAGCGACAGCGGGAGTCACAGATTCCAAGAGTGGGTCTGTTCAACGACTTAGTCAAGGGCGACTTGTTCTACGTCATGACCCACGACGGTACGACGCACGCGCTCTTGGGACTGGTGGACAAAGCTACGAGACTACATGTGGTGTGTCGGATTGCTTCACGCGAACCAGGAGACGTCTGGGAGAAGTTCCAGACGTGCTGGCTCACCCCGTTCGGGATCACGCAGATTCTGGTTGTCGACCGGGACGGTGCCTTCGAAGCCGTGTTCCTGGACAACTGCCACACGTTGGGAATCGACGTGAGGTGCGTGCCGCCGGGAGCTCACTGGCAGCTGGGCCTGGCCGAATCCGGCAACTACGCCTGGCGCCGAGTCTTCGAGAAGGTGATCGACGTCATCCTGCCGACGATGCCAGAGCACGTGGACCTCGCGATCATCTCGACGAGCCACGCCGTAAACCAGTCAGTGCGCCGAGCAGGCCGCACCGCCTATGCCGCCGCCTTCGGACGGGTACCCACACTTCCGACCGAGCTCTTGGCCGACACCACGTCCGCCGAGTTCTGGCACAATTGCACCCAGGATGAGATGCTGGCCTACGGGGAGAGATGCCGCATTGAGGCGCTCAAGGCGATCGCCGACCTGGAGGCCGACGAGGCGCTGCGCACCTCCATCCTCCGCCAGCCTGTCAACCGCAAGGAGTACGACTTCCTCTCGGGACAGCGCGTGGCAGCCTGGGGCGAGCATGGTCGCAAGCGACGGGGCAAGACGCCCGTGGCAGGGTATCGCCCAGGCATTTTCTGTTTCTGGGATTCCGGCACCAACGGCTACGGCGAGGGCGAGTCTGCCTGGTTGCAGATCGGGCACCGCACTGCACAGGTGGCCCGCGAACACATACGCCCAGCCGTCGGTTTCGAGGGCTGGACCCCTTCCGAGGAGGACCTCAAGGAGCTCAAGACGGCCGAGCAGGACTTGGCGAAGGCCGGCCAGGGCGACGCTTCGAACATCACCATTGAGGGCCCTCCTGAACAACAACCCGAGCCAGAAGATCCGCAAGCACGAGTGCTGCCGGGACCTCTTCCGGCAGCCCCGCTCGAGCCCATCCTGGAGGAGCCCGCGCAGGCCTCTCTGGGAGACAACGCTACCAAAGAGAACTTCAGGAGCGCGTCAGCCGACGACGCCCCTGAAGCTGCGCCAGATGCTGAACTTCCTCAACTTGCCGACGCCTCGGAGCCTCCGACGCCGACAGGCCAGAGCGGTACCCGGCGTCGAGCCGAAGGCGAAGCTCCAGAGCCCGTTGCGCCCTTTCCGTGGCCAGCACCGCCTCAGTTTGGACCAGTCCGAGCACGAGAGCGCTCTGCGACGCCCACGCCGAGGAGATCAGCACATCATACCCGCGAGTCGTCCGCAGCTCGACCACCATCGAGCGGTTCGGCACCTTCGACGGTTATCGCACCACCACCGGAGAAGAAATCCCGACCAGGAAAGCTTCCTAACATACCGGGCTCACCGAGCCCAGCAGCCTTCGTGTCCAACGAGTCGGGCGAGATGGAGTTCATCGCACCGGATGGCTGGGACGGAGTCGAGGAGCCGGTCTTGCTCAGGACCCGTGTGTTCTCGAGCCTGGCGGAGGTCCAGGAGGCCTACGAGGCGCACCTCTTGCCCATCGAGAACTTCGAGAACGACCCGATCGACGACAGCGAGCCGGACGACGACTGGACAAACTGCCTGTACATGACCTCCCACGAGCTCTCCGACCTCAGGGACGGCGAGATGGACGTGGACTGTGCGACAGCACAGGTGGGCGACACGACGGACTCGAACAACCTGTCGAGACGCGAGCAGCGTCAACTGGATCGTGAAATCCCTTGGCGGGAGATCGCAGAGTACCCGGAGGACCAGTTCATGGAGTACGTCAAGGCCTTGCGCAAGGAGTGCCAGAACTGGGACACCTGGAAGTCCGTTCGGGCCTGCTCGCAGGAGGAGGCCGAACAAGTTCGTCGTGACCCTCATCGTTGCAAACGGTGCATCCGCTCGCGCGTGTGCTACCGGGACAAGAACTTGGGGCTTCCGCCGCTTGTTGATTTTTTTTGTTTTGTTGATTTTTTTTTTTTGGGGTTTTTGTTCTGTTTTTTTTGTTTTTTTTTTTTTTTTTTTTTTTTTTTTTTTTTTTTTTTTTTTGTTTGTTTTTGTTTTTGGTTTTTTTGTTGTTTTTTTGAGTTTTTTGTTTTTTTTTTTGAAGTTTTTTTTTTTTTTTTTTGTTTTTTGAAGGCCAAGGCCCGCCCGGTGTTGCTGGGGTTCTCCGACCCCGACCTGGAGAAGTTGCCGCGTAACGCCCCGGTGCTGACCGACGCCGGCAAGAAGCTGATCTGCCAGATCGCGGTCTCGAATGACTGGCGAGTCGGGGCCGGAGACGCGGAGAGCGCCTTTCTCCAGGGAGGCGCACAGAGTGAGCGCGAGGAGGCGATCTACATGATTCCGCCCAAGGACCCGATAGTTCAAGCCGCCGGAGTCTTCACCGCTCCGCTCTACGAGGTGGTTGGCAACCTGTACGGTCAGTCGACGGCGCCGTACCTGTGGTACAAGCACGTGGTGACGACCTTCCTGGCGCTGGGCGGCAAGCTCCACAGCCTCGATTCAGCTCTCTTCTTGTGGTTTTTTCCGAACAACGAGTTGGCTTGCGCAGTGGGTATGCACGTGGACGATGCTCTTGCGGCACACCATCCCAAGTTCGACTTCATACCGATCGAGAAGGCTATTAAATGGCGAGGCTGGCAGTGGGACAACTTCGTCTTCCTCGGCGAGGAGTACCAGCGCCTACGTCAAGGTCCGTACAGTGGAAGTTTGTTTGTTCATCAAGCGGCCTACACTAAGGCGATTGCAGTCACGAAGGTTGGAGTTATGTCCAGCACTCGGTCTTCTTCTAAGCTGACGCGCTCGGAGCGCGAAGATCTGGAGTCTGCTGTCGGTTCGCTCCAGTGGTTGTCCGGACACACACGTCCAGACCTGTCAGCCGCGGTTTCCCTTGTCCAGAGGACCGACCCCGAGCTGAACGACCTGCGGATGGCCATGAAGCACGTAGAGTACGCGCACCGCACAGCCCAGACTGGCATCCTGATCGTCCGCGTCGATTTGAGCCGCGCCTGCTTCGTGAGTTTTGCAGACAGCTCATGGGCGAACGCTCCGGGATTGAAGACCCAGATCGGCACCCTCATCTTTCTGGCAGACGAGGTGATACTCACCGGACCCACGTCATGTACTCTCTTGTTTCACAAGTCCAAGAGAACGCCGAGAGTGGTGAGATCTACGCTGGCTGGGGAAGCTATCGCGCAGGACCTGGGAGTGGACTACGCGTCGTACTTGTCGAAGTTCCTGTCCGAGATGCTGACCGGACGGCCTGCTGGCCGACACCCACCGATCTTCGAGGTTATCACCGTTACCGACTGCAAGTCTTTGTACGATGCCCTCCACCAGCTCACCCCGAGTTTGTCTGAGAAACGTATTGTGATCGACGTGATTTCCATTCGTGACGAGGTGAAGGTCAAGAACGTCAGGTGGATCCCTACGACGCACATGATAGCCGACGGCATGACCAAGGAGGATCCGAAGCTTCGCGAGAATCTGACCGAGTTCTTGGCGGACCCAGTGCTTTCGCTCGTGGAGTCGATTGCTTGCGAGGAGCTGACCGGTGGGGATGGCCAAGTACAGAAGAAGTGATATGATTTTCCACTTGCACGTGCCGGGAGTCGCGTTTCACTCCCATCCGCTTGGTTTCGCCCAAGATATTGCGAGTTTGATTTTCCACTTGCACGTGCCGGGGGTCGCGTTTCACTCCCATCCGCTTGGTTTTGCCCAAGATATCACCGATTCCGGATGCCGGCATCGAGTTTCGGTTTATTGATTTCAGCTGCCGATCCTTGGCCGCTCAAAGAATTCAGTTACTGTCTCATTTTGTGCTAATCCGAGTCCGTGCTGCAAACAAGCCCGTTGTATAGCCAGGCCGCATTCTGAGTTTCAGAGCAGGACCAGAGAGAACTCCAGGAGTGCAATAGTCATTCTGTTTATCTGATAATGCTGGTCCCTGCTATTGCTGTTGCATGCTCTCACCCCTCTGCCCGTAAACATATTGGCTGAGGGGGCCCCCTTTTGCTAACGCTACCAGCTATCATAACTTATCATTTGCAGCGAGAAGGTCTTGGAATAAAAGATTCACGCATCTTACCAGCGCCTGCGTGTGCGTTGCAGGTTCGAGGTCCGAATCGTCCCAAGCCGCCTCTGCTGCCCTTGCCCTGGTCGAAGAGCTCCTGGGCCCTCGGGACCCCCTCTGCTCCTCCTGTGGACCTGGGTCCTCTCGTTCCTCTGCCTCCATAGGGAGACAATGGCCAGGGCACAGATGGGCTTGAAGTCTTTCGTGAGTTGAATCACGGGCCAGCTTGGCACGGCCGAACCATGATTTGCCTGTCTTGTACGTGTTTCCTGATACTGCCCACTGGGCATTGTCGTGGCCTGAAGAAGTTATGTAAAGGTGCTGCTAAGGCACGTGCAGACCGTGCGGCGTAGGTTTAGAAGCTGTTGAATGCCGAGCGCGGGAAGCACCCCACTTCTGGTGAACTCCTAGAGCCTGTGCCTGCCGTGCCGAGGCAGGGCGACGCCGCCACTGCTGCCGCTTCTCTAACGGATGGGGTTGGGGCGGTGGACTGCCCGGGGAAGGGATCCGACTCTTCTGATTGATGGGGATGTCATGCCCCTCTTCCGTTTGATGTAGCTGCCGCGGAGGCTTGCCGCCGTGGTTTGGTCGCCCTGGCGGCATGCAGTGCCGCTCTGGCCCTGCTTTTGCGGCATGGTTGGCTTCCCTGCCGATCGCTCCGCCCTCACTCTGTCATCAGCGACGCGCAAGTCACTGACACGCGCTTCCGCTGTGGAATGAAATCTCGCCTTGATTCACAAAGTCATTCGGATCGTTGGCCCTCGGCTGTGTGACGCCTGATGTCCACATCGACTTCGGACAGTATGCGCTTCTGGCCTCCTCGAGCGAGTTTTGCAGCTCGGCGCCGCGCAGCTCCCGCTCTCGGTCGTGCGGTGCGGGAAGAACGCGGAGCGCTTCCGTGCGCCGTGCGTGCCATTCGATCGAGACCCTGTCCCTGGTGCTGCAGTAACTCTGGGTGCCCACCGCTCTTACCTGTCTTCTTGGGGACCTGCCGAAGTTCCCGCCCCCCCCTCTCGCGGACGGCAGTGAAGCAGGAGGGGAAAAAACACACACACACATGTGAATCACGCACACAAACATCGATTCTACCACGCTGTTTGCACCACTGTGGTTGACCACACAGCTTCTACCATACAGTCTGCACTGCATCACTTGCAGCGCGCAGAATGCTTCACGTAGCCTTCGCTACACGGACTGCACCGCACAGTTAGCTGCCGCATCCGGAGTCCAATGACTCCCTCCTCGGGGCCCACGCTGGCGAACATAGGATTCCTCAGCCACAGGCGAATTGCTGCAAGCGCAGAATTCGAGGCCGGCAGCGCACAGCGGATCTGTCCTGCTCAGCGCGGGCAGCTCCAGGACGGTGATCGGGGCAAAGTCCCCGCAAACTCCGCGCGTGCATCCCATATCTCTTTGCTTTTGAGTTTGCCTCTCATCTTCTGGCTGGCGCACTTTACTCCAACAAGTGAGCCCTGGCGCGATCTTCGTCATTGGGGTTGATAGAAGGGGCGGGGGAGGGGTGGGGGGCGCATGGCGATGAGGGCGACGACAAGGAGGAGGAGGGTGACAACGGGGAGGGGGATGCGGAGGCGGGGAGCGAGGGCGAAGATGGCGTTCCGCAGCGGCGCGGCAGGCTTGGAAGGATCATTCAGCGCTTCGGGGTCTTCCGGAACCGTCTCTTGGGCTTCTTGGGGTCCACTTGGCCCGTTTTGGAGCACTTTATGCCCCAATGACATGTTCGTCCGGGGGTGGTCTCGGGCCGGAGGGGATGTCAAAATCCTGGCGAGGGTGCCTGGGGTGGATCATGGGGGGGGGGAATCGTACGCGCCTGGCGCCCGCCGCCCGCCCGCCCGCCGCCAGCCCGCCCGCCCGCCCGCCTAAAACCTGGCTAAAACCTTCATCCGGAAGAATCCAGGATTCGAGGAAATTTCAAAAATCACTTCTTGAAACCTTCCTCAGGAAAAACCCAGGATTCCTCGAACCAAGCATTTTTTTGAACCCTCCTCAGGAAGAATTCAGGACTCCTTGGACCTCAAAAAACCATCCTAAAACCTTCCTCCGGAAGAATCCGTGATTCCTGAAACCTTACAACAAACCTTCCTAAAACCTTCCTCAGGAAGAATGCAGGATTCCTGGAACCTTCAAAACAAACCTTCCTAAAACCTTGTTCAGGAAAAATCCAGGATTCCTGGAACCTTCCAAACAAAAAAACCTTTGTAAAACCGTCCTCGGGAAGAATCCAGGATTCCTGGAACCTTCCAACAAAAACCTTTCTAGAACCTTTTTCAGGAAGAATCCGTGATTCCTGGAACCTTCCAAAACAACCTTCCTAAAACTTTGTTCAGGAAGAATCCAGGATTCCTGGAACCTTCCAAAATACCTTCCTAGAGCCTTCCTCAAGAAAAATTCAGGATTCTTGGGACCTTCCAACAAAACCTTCCTAGAACCTTCCTCAGGAAGAATCCAGGATTCGTGGAACCTTCAAAAAAACCTTCCTGAGCTCCCCCCGCGAAGAATCCAGGATTCCTGGAACCTTCCAACAAAAACCTTTCTAGAACCTTCTTCAGGAAGAATCCAGGGTTCCTGGAACCTTTGAACGAAACCTTCCTAAAACCTTCCTCAGGAAGAAGCCAGGATTCCTGGAACCTTCCAACTGAGAGCGTTTACGCTAGGATTCCTATTGAGATCCTTTATACAAGAATTCGTATTGAGAGCCTCCACAAAAAAGGATTCCTATTGAGAGCTTCTACACAAGGAATCTGATTGGAAGCCAATACAGAAGGATTCCTATTGAGAGCCTGTGCAACATAGGATTTCTATTGAGAGCGCTTGCGCTAGCATTCCTATTGAATGCCTCTACAAAAGGATTCTGGTTGAGAGCCATTACAGAAATATTCCGATTGAAAGACAATACAAACGGATCCCGATTGAAACCCAATACAAAAGGATTCCTATTGAGAGCTTGTGCCAAAGGATTCCTATTGAAAGCCTCCACAAAAGGGTTCCTATTGGAGAGCCACTGCGAAAGGATTCCTATTGAGAGCCTCGACGAAATGTTTCGCATTGACAGCCTTGTATACAAGGATTCCTTTTGAGAGCCTCTACAAAAAGGATTCCTATTGAAAGCGAATGCAAAAGGGATTCCTGTTGAAACGTATCACAAATGGTTTCCTATGCAGGGCCTGTGCCAAAGGATTCCTGTTGAGATTATCTACAAAACGGATGCCTATTGAGAGCTCTACAACAAGGATTCTTATTGAAAGCTAATACGGACAAATATTCCGATCGAGAGCCTCGACGAAAGGATTCTAATTGAGAGCTTCTACAAAAGGAGCCCTATTGAGAGCCTCTACAAAGCGATTCTTACTGGAAGCCTCTACAACATGATTCCTAGTAAGAGCCTTTACACAAAGAGCTCCCTTTTGAAATCCAATACGATAGCATTCCTATTGAAACCCCATGCAAATGGATTCCTATTGAGAGCCTGTGAAAAAATATTCCTGTTGACAGTCTCGACAAAAGGATTCCTATTAGGAGCCTCTACAAAAAGGATTCCTATTGAAAGCCTGGACAAAAGGATTCCTACTGAGAGTCTCTACACAAGGATTCCTATTGAGAGCTTATACGACGAAAGGATTCCAATTGGAAGCCCGTAGAAATTATTTACTATTGAGAGCCCCCGCAAAAGGATTCCGATTGCGAGCCTCCCTCTACAAAAGGATTCCTAAAACCTTCCTCAGCAAGAAGTCAGGTTTTTTTGTATATATATATATATATATATATATATATATACACATATAACGGCGCACCGGGTCCGGGGGCCCGGGGCCGGGACCCCGACCACAAATGTGGGCCCCGGGGGGCCCAGAGGCTCGTCGGACCGCCGGACGCCGTCCAAGATCGTTCGCAGGCGGCTTCGGAACGCGCTCCGATGGCTCCAGATGCCTTCCAAGACGCCTGTCATGACACCAAGAAGGTCCCAGAAGCCTCCAAGACGCTCCGAGAGGCAGCCCAAGAGAGGCCCAAGAAGCAAAAATCGTGCCATTCCTATGGGGAAACGTATATTTTTCGCATGTTCGCCTCTTGGGCTTTCGCCGCGTCCAAGACGGCCCAAGAGGCGCCCAAGACCGCCCCAAGACGGCCCAAGAAGCTTCGAAGAGGGCCCCAGGACAGCCCAAGAGGGCCCCAAGACGGCCCAAGAGGCGCCCAAGATGGCCCAAGAGGGCCCCAAGACGGGCCCAAGAGGGGCCCAGAGGGGGACCACGAACCGCAAGCTCGAGCCTTCCGCCCCAAGAGGCCGCCAGGAGGCCCCAAGGAGGCCCCTCAAGAGGCCCCAGGAGACCCCCAAGAGGCCCAAAGGAGGCCCCGAGAAGCCCCAAATCGGCCCCCAAAATGCTTCGAACCTGCTTCCAGGAGGCCCCCGACAGGTTCAGAGGCTCCCGAGAAGCTACGTCAAACTCCCAGCGAGCGGCCGGACGAGGCCCCCCACAAAATCACAAGAGGGTTCCAGTATTTGTATCCTTCAGCGCTCTCTGGCCTTCTTCCCCCTGCCCCCTTCCCTGCGACTTGGCTCCGGATGCCTTCCAAGACGCCTGTCATGACACCAAGACGGTCCCAGAAGCCTCCAAGACGCTCCGAGGCTGGGGTACGGGGCTGGGGGCCTCTGGCCAGGTGCATCGAGTCGCCATGCCCCCCCCCCCCCCCCGGCTTCTCCAGGGCCGCTCCGGGGCGTCTCCCGAGCGGCTCTGGACGGACCCTGGTGCTGTTTCAGCGCCAGGAAAGGTTCCCACCTTCGACCCATGTCGCCGAAGCACGCGGTAGAGGTTTCATGGGCCCTCCAACATGGCTCCAGACGCTTCCAGGAACACTCCCCCGAGAGGCCCGGGAGGCCAACATCGATGGTTTTCCAAGGGTTTTCGGAAGGATTTTGGCATTCTGTTTTTTCCGGTTGCACGGCGCTCCACGACGGCCCGGGAGGTCTCCAGGTCCGCCCCCCAGCCCCAGGGGCCCCCAAGACGAGCCCAATGCGGCCCCGGAGAGCCCAAGGCTGGCCCAAGAAGCGCCCGCGACAGCCCACGAAGGCTCCAAAACAAGCCCACAGAAGGGCCCGAGAGAGGGGCCGCGTGCCGAACACACAGGGCCCCTGCCTCAACAGTGACCCGGGAGGCCACAGGCGGCCCCCAAGAGTCCTCCAACATGGCTCCAGACGCTTCCAAAAGCACTCCCACGAGGGCCCCAGCAGGCCAAACGTTGATTTTTTCCAATAGTTTTGGAGGGTTGGCCTTCTGATCTCGGCGGCTGTCCGACGCTCCTAGGCGGCCCAGGAGACCTCCGAGACCGCTCCCAAACAGCTCCAGAAGCGCCCAAGGCCGCCCCGAGGCGGTCCCGGAGGGCCCAAGGCTGGCCCAAGAAGCGCCCAGGGCCGCCCACGAGGGCCCCAAACAGGCCCGAAAGGTGTCCAAGAGACGGACCGCGCTCGGAAAACCCAGGGCTTCCGCTTCAAGAGAGCCCCAGGGGGCTTCAGATAGCTCCCAAGAGGCTTCAAACATGGCTCAGGACGCCTCCAGGAGCACCCCCCAAGAGGGTCCCAACAGGCCAAAATCGTTCGTTTTACTCAGGAATTGGAGGATCTTGGCCTTCTTGTCTGTTCGGCTTTCCGACGCTCCAATGGGGCCCAGCGCGCCTCCAGGTCCGTTCCCAAACAGCCCTGGGCGGGCCCGGGAAGCCCCAGGGAGCCCGCGAGACCGGCCCTGCGCAACCCAAGAGTTCCTCGGCAGGATAGTCAGGGAGGGGGGGAGAGCGGGGGGGCCTCTGGCGCCCCGTGCTCCAGGAACGCTCCTCCGGAACATGGCGTGCGAACGATGAGGATCGGGGATCCCAATAAGCAAAAATCGTAGATTTCCTTTGGGGAAACTGATATTTTTGGCGTGTTTGCCTTTTGGGCGTCCACTGCGCCAGGGGGCGCCAGGTGCGACAGGTGCGACAAGTGCGCCCGCAGGGGACAGGGAGGCCTCAAAGTGGTCCGCGTAGGACGTACCTCTGCTGGGCCTCCCAGGAACTTACGAAAGTGGCGACAGTTGCCAGATCGCAGCCCCGCAGGGGACAGGGAGGCCTCAAAGTGGTCCGCGTAGGACGTACCTCCGCTGGGCCTCCCAGGAACCCACGAAAGTGGCGACAGTTGCGCAGATCGCAGCCCCGCAGGGGACAGGGAGGCCTCAAAGTGGTCCGCGTAGGACGTACCTCCGCTGGGCCTCCCAGGAGCCCACGAAAGTGGCGACAGTTGCGCAAATCGCAGCCCAGCAGGGCACCGTGAACACAGGAGAGAAGAGGGAGGAGAGGGCGGGAGGTGGATACCACAGTGCTCTATTCAAAACGAGTGCCCAACACAACGAGGGTTAGGAAAAAAGGGAATTCCCAGAATTCCAGTTTTTTTCCCAACCATCCTGTGGTGTTGGGTCCTCGTTTTGAAGAGACGGTGCCCCGCGTTCCCCTCCTTCCTCCTCCCCCTCC